GGTGCCCTCGCGTGACTCTCGCCTAGCTCGCGCGTTTCCCGCCAAGTTCACGCTCCTTTTTTTCCTCCTTTTGTTTTACTACAGGAAACTTGTAGGTTATTTAAAAACAAAAGTAATTTGACAGGCGAAGTATGAGCACTATGTTGTCATCCCCTCTTACTTTTCCGATGGGCACTTCCCTTGTAAAAATTGCACAGACGCTCGTCGGAAACATTTGAGAGCGCCCACAAAAATACTAAGATAGTGTGTTATGTAGATGACCTTCCGGCTGGAGTTTCACGTTGCTGGAGCTCACACATGCAACGCGTGGTATTTTCACAATTGAACAGATGGACTTTTTTTTTTTGGCTTTCTCGAGACATGAGCTTAAAACGCCTCCGGTAATTTTGTCAGATGTTCATGCTTTAGTTGGGCAAAGGAAAAAAGGAAACTTTATTTTGTGTTATGTGAATCTCAAGAATGCGTTACGTTTATTTAGTTGAATTCCTGACGGAAATTTTGCCAAAAATTTTCTAGATTACTGCAATGTCCAATTCTCTACTGCAGATCTAAATAATTTCTCATGCAGAGCGATACGGCGAAAAACAGCCTTTTGAATGAAGAGACGAAAAGAAAACAAATGATAAACCAGGGTCATTTTTATGCCTTTGAGTGCTTTCTTTTCTGTCTTATCTTTTTCTGCTCTAAATACGCTCTTCCTCCTTTTAGGCTACGCCCTGATAAGAGTGTATTATCGGGGAATTTGAATTCGAGATCCAGGCATAAGTTACAGTCTTCTTCAACCTCTCTTCAAACATTTCTCGGTATCAATTTGGGTAACATTAAATTAAAATGCCCTGTGGATGGAACTCAGCGGGAGGGGGTGGGGAAGGCCCCAGGAAATAACTTTGCATTTGATAGTACGTGCCTTTTGTTGCTGAAGCTCGTTGGATAAGATCCCGATGTTAATCCTTTCAAATTATTTCACGATGATTGCAGATTTGTTCTTCGAACTCATAGAACCAAGAAATTTCCTTCTGAAGGGCAAACACGTGAGAGGAATGCTGGGCTGGCATCTCTCTTCAAAAAACTTTTGTTTAGGATGTGTTGTACTAATGTGTAATGACTTGGGTAGAGTGAAATATTCTCTGGGGATGGGGGTGGGATCCAAACGGCGGCCTCTGGTTTCAGAGAGCGCGGAAACTGAAACAACTTCTGCACGTGCTTCAGTTTGTTTTCCTCCTTTGCTAAATTCTTTCATATTTTTCATTTTCGCGCTTGTGAATGTTACTTCACATATCACTGTACCTTTGGTTGCAACGTATGGAACCTTATGATTTCCCTTTGAATGAAGACACGTGACGGATCACTGAATAGCTTCCGTTTGTTTGAGTTTCACCCAACGAAAAGCCTCCGAGGTTGTTGAAATTGAGTGCATTGTGGGTGCATTTGCATTTATTTAAAAAGTTTTGGGGTGTATTTTTTACACTAGAGGATTGAAACAGCCAGTAGGTCACGACCAAACAGTAGTGAAACCAGTCAAAGTTATTTCGTACGGCGCAGATATGGCGAAAGGAAACGGCCGAGGTGTTTTTTCAACAGGAGGGAGCAAGTGCTGTGGTTGTTGTTCAGGATGTATGCGGCGAGTTAGCAAAGACTTGTTGCTTGTTCTTATAATCATTGGTGTCGTGATCGGTTTTGTCATCGGAGCTCTCGTCAACGAACCAGTCAATAACATCGAAGATGTCGAAGACAAGAAAACGGTTTTGATGTTGATCGGATTCGCTGGCGAGCTTTTCATGAGTATGCTGAAGATGCTGATTCTTCCTTTAATTGTGGCTAGCTTGATTTGTGCGTTGGCATCTCTTGACGCGAAAGCTACCGGCCGTGTTGGAAGACGAGCTCTTGTTTATTATTTATCGACGACCATCTTGGCAGTCATTCTTGGAATAGTGTTGGTAGTGGCCATCAGGCCTGGGGAAACTGACGAGGAAAAAACTGGGACGAAAGAAGTACAACCTGTGAGAACCTTGGATGCATTTTTGGATCTGATCAGGTAATTTATCACAATACGCAGTTAAGAATTTTTTATTAGTATTTTCCACATTAAACTATCCATTTAAATTAATGGCTTTAGTTATTTCTTTCGCCCTTAGGGTCACGTCAGGGTGCGAAACGTCGTTTCGACTTGTTTATGAAGGTTTATGTTTGTTAAAACGAGTATTCTGACTCTTACGTGAAACTGATACCACTAAAGTGATATGAAAAAGATTCTTATCTTTACATTATAAACTCATTGCTACAGTCTTATCGCAAAGGAAAGAAGTTTGAAATTTTCGGAGAAACCGATATTGCTGTTTTATGTCCA